TCCCAAGGGCTGGGATCAAAGGCGTGTGCCACCATGACAGGCACGTGTAAGACTCTTCAGTCTTACTATTCTGTATTTTCCTACTGCTTCCTGAATGTCCCCAGTGCCTCAGCTGAGTCTGTCCTGCTGTTCAGTGCTTCCGTGCCCTAACACTTGATTCCAAGGCTCGTTCCAAGCTCTGGTGTTCCTTACTCACTTTTAAGACCCAGTTCTCTTCCGCTTCATCTCTCTGTGGCCCTCAGCTTGTGAACTCAGTCTTTGTTTGTTAGCACATGAAATTGTGCTTTTAGTGTGCTAGCTTCTAGAAAGGAGGGTTCCTGAGGCTGACTTTACCTTACTGTTTTCATTTCCTCCAGTGTTTAAAAAGAGAAGATTTTCAAAGCTGAGATGATGGGTTCACATTGATACTATTAGCTGAGACATGCAAGAGCAAACCTGCTTTCGAGCTTGTTGAATCGGAGATACTTGTGTTACATTTAGAAAATGTTCAAGACGTAGTTGAAGTGGGAGCGGCCAGGGAACGTGGATGTGTCAGTAGGGCACAGAGAGTTGAATCGTGACCTTGAGAAGGCACGTAAGATGGCTGCACTTCACTTAGGATTGACTGGGGACAGGGAACAAGAAAACATAAAACTGAGAGTAGTTCATTTTCTTGTCCCTTAGCCAGATATAATGGCCTGGAAAAAAATGTAAGGGAGCAGGTTTTATTTTTGAAGCATCATCTCGTGTGTGTGTGTGTGTGTGTGTGTGTGTGTGTGTGTGTGTGTGTGTGTGTAGATTAATAAGAGTAACATATATTTTAAGAATGAACAAATATGAGTACATTTTCATATATTCCTGATTCCTGGCCGTCACCATCAGTAAATGGTCTCCTTATTCTGTATAATAGAACATTTTGATGTAAAAACTGACTGCAATATCTTATATTGCAATTCATGTTTGTTGAAAGTAAACAATGCATATCTTATTTTAAGCCAAGGACATAATGTTTTTGCTCTGGGGAGGGGGTGGTCATTTTCACGAGAGAAGGAGGAAGGGCTGTTTTGCTTGTGGGTTTCCTCTGTTCACTTTTGATCTAGCTATTGGTGGTTGTGTTCCAGTCCTCCTGCATATGCCCAAGAGGATTGGGAATGGATGGACACCAGCAGAAGCACCATTACTCCTGTAGAAATTAGAAACAAGGAGTATATTGCCCTGCTTGTCGAGGCTCAGGACAGAGAGGAAGACACAAGTATAAAGGTTTTGATTTTGGAAAGAAGTTGGAATCTTCTGACCCTGGGACCTTAAGATCCACAGTATTGCTGAAAGAAAAAGTACTACCTTATTGAAAGGTAAGATATTAAACCGTTCAAGCTGTTTTAGCCACATTAGCATATTTTCATAAGCTGTAAATTCAAGTAGTCATTTCTGTAGAGCTGAGGTTTTTATGACATAATCACTCATCCAGCCTTGCTATTGAGCTGCAGACCTGTGTGGCCGGAGAGAGATGTATAAGGAGGAAAAACTCTTACAACAGTTCACATAGTTTTGAAATGACATACTGACTGCCAGGCACTGAGCTAGGCTCTGGGAATATAGAGATTAATGAACACCCTACTGCTTACCTTCTAAGAAATTCTCATTCAAGAACAAGGAAAAACCTGACGATTACAATGTGATAAGTGCTATACTACATAGACACTAAGTGTGATAAGAGTGTTCCGGGGTAAGGGATTGTAGCTCAGTGGTACAGCACTTGCCTAGCATGCCCAAGGGTTAGGTCTCCATCACCACAAAAAGCTGTTTGAAGCAGTAGCATTCATGACTTTTAGGAACTCATAAGGTTAGAGGAAGGGAATATGCTTCAAATTAGAGAGGTTTATATGTTCAAAGAAAGACTACATTGTGTTAGAAGAGCACACCAAACCAGAAACTGCTGTCTGTTTGCCATGCGTAGGAGTGGTAAGGGCTTGCTAGGTCGGTGGGTTTGGGCCAGCTGGGGGTGGGGCTGGGGGGCAGAGTGCCTGCCAAGAAATTCAAACTCTGACTGTGGAGAAACAGTCAAGATAAAAATGAAAACCCTGTGAACCTCAGTTCTAAGATGTTTTAGAGGGAAAAATGCTGTTACATTAATAATGTACCTTAGTTCTCTGATACCACCCCCTAAGAGAAGAATGGCCATTCTTATTCTGTCCTTGGCTACTCATTCTTGGTATCTGTGTGTCTTAAACTTTGTAGGTTACTAAAGAATAGGATTTTTGACTTGACTTAGTTTGTGGAGAGAATTCCTTTTCCACTTTGTACCAACTTTGGATATCTTTTAAATTCCACGGCATGTTTCATCTCAAAGATTGTTTTCATTTTATAGAGGAAAAAAAGATTTTACAGTGAAAATTCAGAAAAAGAAACCATCCTAAGAGAAGTCGGATTTGCCCCTTGACCTTTCATAGCGTTGTGTAGCTTCAGGACTTAGGAAGAAGCTCTGAATAGATGAGGAGGATTCTGAGGAGAGGCGATACTAGGGTGGATGTGGAGTTGCTGCTGGAGCTTTCGCCACCACCCTCTTGTGACGTCCTAGGTCCAGAAACTTCAGAAGGCCCTGGGGGAGGCCTGGACGTGATCTTGAGCAGGAGTGGTGTCTGCTCCTAGACTGTGAACCGCACTAGGAAGAGGGAAGAAAGGAGAGTGAATAGGCGCCCAGCACAGCACATGGGTGCTCATGCGGCAGGTGTTGGTGTTCTCCACGCCGGCTCCTGCCTCAGCTGGGGTGCAACAGACAAGCTGGACAGAGGCTCTGTAGAGACTGCGTGCAGGGTGGAGGAGCTGACCCCAGTGTGGCCTTCAGTTCACAATGATATGCAGTCTAGTTGGAGCAAAAGAATCTTGTTTGAATACATTTCAAAAGATTGGGAGCTAGGGTCAAAGCCCAGTTTCAGGCTTTACGAGGACATTTCTATAAAACTAGCCACCGGAACCAAAAACATGGTGGAAGAAGAGGGACATTCTAGAAGGATTAAGTTCTTAAAGTACTGAGTGAGACACCTCAAGAGGTGTGGGCGTTAGTGTTCAGACCTGCCTGTGTGACTGCTGTAGAGATGGACCTTTGCTAGGTTAGGAGCTCTGGAGTACAGTGATTGCTTGCTAAGGGGTAGTGGATTGATGGCATGGACTGCCGTGAGAAAACCCCTTCTGATAGAAGAGACCGTACAAGGAGTGAGTCTGAAGACAGTATCAGCTGAGCCCACTCCTGCTTATGTAACAGACAGTTCTTCGGCCCTCCACATACTGCCATACAGTGTCTAAAGATACTGTCGTGTAACTAACTAAATACTAACTTTCATAGGCCAGTAAGAGTTAAATATAATGAATAGAGGATAACTTTCATTGAGCACTCAGTTTTTAATGGAAAATACATGATGATTTTAATAAACAGGAAAGATTTTATCATTATCCAGCTTTTTCTTTTAATTATAAGAAGGTACATATTGAAGGACTCAAGGAGGCAAGCCCCAAACAGACCTTGTAGCATCCATCCACAGTGACAGGCACTGGGTTGGATTTTGAAGTGTCTTGTTACTCAGAAGGTACAGCTTGATAAGTAAGTGTTGAACAGTTTAGATTAGAAGGACATCCTCTTAGGTTGTTATTATTTTTGCAGTGGTTTCTATTGCACACCATATAAAGATCAAAGAATTTGTTTTGGTCTTAGTTACCATTTTTGTGAAACAGGACAAGTTGAAAAATAGGTTTCTTTTGAGATAAAAACTGTATCATATATACTTGAATAGCTCTGAAGTAGCTCAATAAAGTGCTCGCATTTATCTGTTAGAAATTGGCTGCATAAAAAGATAAAAGATTTTTAAGGAATGTTTTATTATGATGGGGAGATGCTGGGGGAGGGAGATAAAAGTGCTTGCTTTGTGTAAGCACGATGTCCTGAGTTAGGATCCCCAGAACCCACATAAAGCTGGGTACTGTGCATCTGGAATGCTGGTGCTTCTTCAGTGATGTGGCAGGTAGAGACAGAAGAATCCCTCCCTGGAAGCTTGCAGGTCATCAAGCTTGATGTACACAGTGATGAACAAGAAGTCCCTGCCTCAAATGAGGTGGAAAATAAGGACTGATTGACCTGTCCTCTGACCTTCACGCCTGCACTGTGTCATTCACATGCCTGTATTCACACACACAAATGTGTGTGCGTGCACACCCACACACATCATAAATAAGCAAATGAAGTATATAACATCCCCTAAAACTTTCAGAATTCTTTGGACAGAATTTATATTTATAAGAAAGTTATTTATGAAGTGTACTCTGTCAGTGTGTTACAGCAGCAGAGTACCACATACACATCTGTAGCATGTTACTGCATAGTGTATGTCCTTTGATATTCAGAACACCCATGGAAACTATTAGGACAGGTAGTACTTCTTTTTACAAAGGAAGAGAATGAGGCTCAGAGGAGCTTAGTGTTTTGCCCAAGGGTTCAAAGCTAGACTTTGACCTTTATGTTGTGCTAAGTGATGTCTCAGTGTTCTTTGACAGGATTAGGCTTAGACTGATTTCATCTGCTTTTTGCTGTCTTAATCATTGCTTTCAGCAGAAAAACTAGATAAAGCTGGAACCTGATTTTGAATATAAATAGGAGATAGGCCGTGTTTCTTGGGGGTGGTGGGGTTGAGTAGTTATCAGAATGCCCTGAAATTACAGGAACTTCTGCTATAGCATTAGCTAAAGACTAGCAATTGTCAAAGTGTTGCGTTTTCTGAGACTACTGAAAATACTAAAGAGTTTGGGGGATGTTTGTATTCTGTCTCTATACCTAATGTAAAAGCCCTGAAAACAAAGGGATATACATGCCTTTACGAGTATTGGCAAGTTTTTTGATTTAATATTTTATTTGTAAATATATATATATATATATTCATAAATATTATAATTATGAAATTCTCAATTAACAGATTATAAACTGAAGCTCCTAGTGAAATGCCATATGAAATAGATTATCCCTCACTTTGCAGGATGAAGAAACACGGAAAGACTATGACTACATGCTGGATCACCCGGAAGAATACTATAGCCATTACTACCACTACTACAGCAGACGCCTAGCCCCGAGAGTGGATGTTAGGGTGGTGATTTTGGTCAGTGTGTGCGCCATTTCCATGTTCCAGGTGCGTATTCATGGATGGATGGATATATATATATATATATATATATATATATATATATATATATATATATAATGTCTTTCTGTGTATTTGTGTTGCCTAGTGCTAGCCATTAAATCTGTATTATAAGTACATTTTGTAAATTTTTCTTCTAGTTGAGATTCATTTTTTATTTTACACTTGAAAAATACTCATTTACTCTAGGATTTTTTTCACTGTCTTTATTCATTATACATGGTGCTATATGACCTAAGGTCTTGTCGTACAAATATATATTATAGGAGAACATGCCCTCCCCAAGCCCCCTAGCATTGGAATCTTTGTCATCAGGGAGTCTTAGAAACCAGTGGTGGCTGTTCTCTCCATTACTTTTCTACTGATGTGATAAAATACCATGACAAAAACAACTTACAGAAGGAAGAGGTAAGCCAGGCTGGTGGCGCATGTCTTTAATCCCAGCACTGGGGAGGCCGAGGCAGGTGAATCTCCATGAGTTCCAGGACAGCCAAGACTGTTACACAGAGAAACCCTATCTCAGAAAAAAAAAAAAAAAAAAAAAAGGAGGAGGAGGAAGAATTAATTCTGGCTTACAGTTCCAGAGAGAGTCCATAATGGTGAGGAAGGCACCATTGCCTTCCTCATAGTAGCAGGTGGCCTGAGGAGGAAGCTGACTGATCACACATTTCATCGTGCAGACAGTGGAGTGAGGCTATAACTCTCAAAGCCCACCCAGGGTTGTAGTCCTCTAGCAAGGCTCCACATCCTAGGTGTTTCAGACCCTCCCAAACAGTGCCGCCAAACACCTGAAGTTACAGGGAACCGTTTTCATTCAAACCACATAAATGTCATTGCATAGCTACAAACCCTCCAAACCTGTTTCTTCTCATCCCCCTCTAAGATGGCATACATGAGTGTGTGTAACCACCTGTGTGCCTAGTGTCTGTGGAGGCCAGAAGTGGAGGTCAGATTTCCTGAATCGAGATGATTCTGGTGCTGGGAACCAAACAAACCCAGTACATGGCAGCCAGATGATGTCATGTACTTTTATAGGACTTTTCAGTGATATCCCATGAACTTGCAAAGTTAAGAACACCCTTACCATGGCCTGATAAGGCTGGCTTTCCATTGGCTGATGCTGGCACTGCTTGCCTTCTTTGGCAATCCCAAATGCCCCCCCCCCCCCAGTTCTGCATGCCCAGAAGGAGCTGCTGCTCAGCAGAAAACCAATGGCCTGATTCATAAGTGATACACGAACTCTTAGTGTGGTATAAACTGTCCCAGGAATCTGAGTTCAGCCTGGAGTGATGTCTTCCCTGTTGTTCTTTAACTAACTGCACTGCTCATCTGCTCATTTAGAGGAAAAGAACACATCAGACGACTAGGAAGAAAGTAGCTGGCAAGTTTGAGAAGTACTTCTCTCTTTTTAAAGGCTTTTATTGTATGTATATTGGTGTTTGCATACATGAGTGTGTGTAACCACCTGTGTGCCTAGTGTCTGTGGAGGCCAGAAGTGGAGGTCAGATTTCCTGAATCGAGATGATTCTGGTGCTGGGAACCAAACAAACCCAGGTGCTCTCCAGGATAAACATGTGTTCCTAACCTTTGAGCCATCTCTCCAGGCCTGAAAACTTCTTCTCTAGGACAGTATTCAGTTTAAATAATAAAAGATGATATCTTTCAACTCATTAGCATTTGTAGAAGTATTGCCCTCCCCTGGTCTTCTGTTTTTGGTAGATTCCAGGATGTTATTAGCAGAGGAACTGAAGCTCGGATGTGGTGTGAGCAGCAAGGCCTTTTCTGAGAGTTAAACCCTTTGAGGTCGAATATATTTCTGAGTTTTCTCTTGCCAAATGAGTAGAATTCAAATATACTTGAGTCTTTGTGTTCCGAATATGGTAAGCATTCCTGTTGGAGATGTAGCTATTTAGGAAAGAGGTAAAAAGTAATGAAGTTGCCTGAGGTTCTAGCCTGTGGAATTTTAAAGCGAATGTCTTGTTAGCTGTTATGCAGTTGAATCTTCCTCTGGTAAACAAAGGGAAGGGGAGGTGTTCTGCTAATGAAGTAGATCTTTGCGCTCACTGTTGTCACTGGTTTTCTGGGAGGTTCTTTCTGCGTGGCCCTGGCTGCTCTCCGAGTCAGACCCTCTGCCTCCCCTGCCAGGTGCTGGGTGGGCTACAGGCGTGAGTTCCCACACCTGGCTGAGAGCCGTAGTTTTAGTCGGCTGGGTTTCTGTGGGGGAATGGCACTCACAAGGGTTACTGCTGCTGCTTCATTTTTATTTATTTTATGTTGTAGTATTTCAGCTGGTGGAATAGCTACAATAAAGCTATCAGCTACCTAGCCACGGTGCCCAAATACCGCATCCAGGCAACAGAGATTGCCAAGGAGCAGGGACTGCTCAGGAAAGCCAAGGAGAAAGGGAAAAACAAGAAGTCCAAAGAAGAGATCCGGGACGAGGAGGAGAGCATCATCAAGAACATTATCAAAAGTAAGATAGACATAAAAGGGGGCTACCAGAAACCCCAAGTCCGGGACCTCCTCCTGTTTCAAGTCATCCTGGCTCCTTTTCACCTGTGCTCGTACATAGCTTGGTACTGCCGGTGGGTCTATAACTTTAATATCAAAGGCAAAGAGTACGGGGAGGAGGAGAGACTCTACCTCATCCGCAAGTCTATGAAGATGTCCCAGTCTCAGTTTGACAGCCTGGAGGACCATCAGAAAGAAACGTTTCTTAAGCGGGAGCTTTGGATAAAGGAGAATTACGAGGTGAGTGGCAGCGGCGGCTGCCAGTGGAGAGTGGTGTCTTCCCTCGCTGCAGGGCCACGGTGCTGAGGCGTCACCTGCACAGGTGCCTCCTCACCCTTCCTTCCCAAGGCCAGGGTTGAGTGGGGAATGCAGGGCCTCCTTATAGTGTGACAATGGGGCCAACTTAAATTCGTTGTCTTTTTTTTAAGCTGTACTTCAAACACTCTGATCAGCTAATCCTGGTAAAAATTAAGAATAGTCTAGCTTGTCGAACTGCGGTGGAGTGATGTGTGCATAGGCTGTCTAGACGGCTTTCTGTTGTTTGCACTAATTAAATTTCTGCCTTCCAAAACAGCAAGGCAGAAAAAAAAAAGAAAAATTTTGTTGAAATAATTGTTTATTTCAAATAATCAAGCATAGAATCTTCTGAATAGTATTATCAAATTTTGGAATGTTACATGCTTTTTATTGAAATCAACTTACTGTAATACCTTTAAAGCTGGGACGTTTTATTAAGTGTTATTTTCCACTATTGACAGCAGCAGAAATTATTTAGATGTGTTCAGTGATCTAGCCCCAGTGCTGAAGGCTCCAGCACTCTCCTATCCTAGGTTCTGATACAATTAATTGGCTAATGTAATGAATATAAGCATTGAGAGCATTGAAACATTCTTCAGAAACAGGATATGTTAGCTGTTACACTGTTTTGTAGCCAGCTCCATTCTGTGTGTAATGTACTAAATCTTTATGGAAAGTAAAATGACTAGGAGTTGCCAGATGTTTAGCAAGTAACTATACTCCTGTGTGTAAATTACCTAAAAACAGGAGATAATGTACTGTTATTTAGCTCTTAAAACTATTTGAGGGAATGGAGAGGCTCTGTGGGTTAAGTCCTCACTTGCCTCACATGCATGACTGCTTCCTTACGTTCCCAGAAACTACATGAAAAACAGGGCTTGGTGGAGACAGGTGGATCCCTGACGCTAACCAAATCCGAGAGCTCTGGATTCAGGGAGAGACCCTGTTTAAAACAAAGGCTGCGAATGCTGGAGAAAAGACACATCTGCACACCATATTTATACACACACACACACACACACACACACACACACACACACACACACACCA